AACCCTTTCATCCAGTCGATCGAAAAAAACTTCGAGTCGTGGTAGTAGTAAATCGAAAGATCGTCCAAGATGCATCGGACATCAACGATCTGGCGAAAGAGCTTGGTGGATGAGCGACGATCCAGAGAGTGTCCCGGAGGGTGTTGAAGTGATCGTTACACCACCTACCTGCGAAGCCAATCTTCAAAAGCTTGAGCTTGATCGTAAGAGTCCAAAGAAAATCAGACATATCGAGTCCGGTGAAAGAGCTTGGTGGATGGATAGCAGCTCGAATGTTCCCGAAGGAGTCATCAAGATCCCGGTTGAAACATCCAACGGTACTTCAGACTCCTCGGAGTCTTTCGAAAGGATAGACATCGGCGTTGACCCCGAGCCTGAAACCTACACCCGGAGAAGCCTCTCTAGATTCCCTATCGAGTTTCCATTGCCACCGAGCTACGAACCGTTGGGAGATCGAGCCAGTCCCGAAGGGGTAAGATGATCGCGTTTAACTACGGCATTTTACTTTATTTTTCCTACAAAGGAAACGATAACTTTGATGTTAAAACTTTTTATCGATCAAATGCGATATTAGGTCCTATCTTTGTTGGCGATTTTTCGAGGAATTCGATTTGCAGGTAGAAAATCCACCAGCACCACCGCATAACTACCATGGAAGGATCTCCCCTTACGACAATGTTCAAGCACCTTCTCGTAGATCGTCTCCGAGGAAACCGACTTCATCCAACTTACATTTGTTCATTGGTGAATACACAAATATCGACGACTTTCTAGATACGGCAACAACCACGACGAATCAACGAAATAGTCCACTTTTGCGTCGTTCTAGAAGACAGGCTAAACTCGAAGAGGGTAAGTTGAGAAGAGAGCTTATTCGGATTAGGTCGCTCTACCGTATAAGTTCGATCCGATACATTACCTTTGGAGTTTGCAATCGGATCGATTCCGAAATCGATCGATAAGGGAAAGGGGCCAACTTTACATGTAAAACGAAGGAGAAAATCAACAAAGTCGTTTCTTCGTTGGCTCATTTAGTTTCCCACGTATAAAACTGCTCAAGTGGATAGCTAGTCGATTGCCAGCTGTTCATTTTACTGATCTTATGTTCACTTTCATTTCACGTCATTTATCGGGGTGAATGAAAAATCGTTTGGAAAGTGTTATGATGCTTTCTTTCTTCATTTCTAAAGAGTTTTATATGATTTGACAACTATGATACTTTTACAGAATCCACCGAGGATACTTCCGAATGTGAAGAAATAGATGCAACGCAGGTCATCATTCACGATAGCACGCCGAAAACTCCAGTGATACAGCGAAGACACAGGTAAAATTCGGAATAAATATTTATTATTATTATTATTATTATTGTTATTATTATTATCGTTTATATTTTACACAATTTTTATGATTTTTTTGTAGAGAACACGAGCCATATCAAGATAGAACACAACCAGACGGATACATCCCAGTAAGTTGCATAATATTCAATTATTATTCATTAAAATATAAGTGATTGGTGTTTTAAAAATTGTCGATATATGTTTGAAAAAAACATACTCACAATTAAAAACCTAACTTCTTTATTTTTTTTTGTCGTTGACTGGTATCTAGTTACATTTGTCTGGTACTAATCGTTGAAGTGCTTTCCGTTGAGAGTCGCACAAGAGAAGTCTGTAGATGACTTTACAATGGTATGTACATATTGTACGTACGCACTCGAAAAAATTTCGCGAACAAAAGCAAGAGACAGAGCAAGAGACATAGCAAGAGAGAAAGAAAAAAAAGAGGGTGATGCCTGCACGACATTATTGTTTTTCGCGAGGGATGCGCTAAAGAGACTCTTCTTCTTTCGTCTCAGACTCCTTCTCTTTCTTTTCGTTATACGCGTAAAGTACTAGCGACAAAGAAGACAAAAAGGGTTGATGGGGAGAGTAAAAAGAATTCCTCGAGTCACCTTGGTTAGCTGTCTCGATTAAGACTGTCTGCGACGTACTACTATGAACTTGACGTCGTTGCGTCAGGGTTGCATAAAACAATGATGACAAGAAAGAAAAAATAGTTTGGTGCGACCACGAACATTCAAAAGTGCTTCCCAGTCACGTTTTTCAATCAATATCGCATAGGTTACTATGAGTATCGATTAAAGTATCCCTCAGTTTGATTTAACGTACAAAAATAAGAGAGAAAGAGAGAGAGAGAGAGAGAGAGAGAGAGAGAGAGAAATGGTTGAAGGGAGCCTTTAGGATAATAGAATTTAATTTGAGGTGACGTTTGGCATGCCCCGTGCCGTCTGGTGTGTTTTGTGCTTTTTGAAACGAATAGCTCGTAGCAACCCCCTTTAGTGCGTTCTCTCGTTGTAAGCCTGTCACTGTAGAGTCTACTGGTAAAAGAAAGAAGGGAAGAAGGGTCCGTTGATGGGAGACCGGGGGAAGCTGTAGTAGGTACCGAAGGGACAATGAGCACGGTCACATTTATGGTCTTCTTCTAAGTGTCGTGCCAGCTGATTATTTTTTCACCCCACAATTACCATTGCTACCCGTTTCTTTTAGCCCACCCTCCTTCATCCTATTCGTTGTCGTCATAGTTCTGCGCCATTGCCTTTCTCGCGTAAACCTCGCAGATTCGTCCACTGTTGGATACTTCTATCCCACGGGAGTTCTCTTATCTCAACGAAAAGAGAGAATTGGAAAAGAAAACTACAAAAAGAAGCCATTTCGCTTGGCTGGGTAAACTTCGACGACGACAAATTCGTGGAAAGCTTCTTTCCCAAAACGATTTCCTGCCGTAAAAGTGGATATCTCCTCTTCGAAAAATATTTACGTTTATCATTCCTTTCTCTTCTTAGATATAGAGAAAAAAAACTTGTGCAATTTTTTCAAATTTTGCATTTTGTGTTCTTATCTTTTAAGAAATACTAATTCATAATTAATTCAATATACTGTATAATATTTATAATTTATTAATGTTTTATTCTAACCTAATTCGAAAGCATTAAAATTCTAAAATGTTTACTGATACGAATCATTCGAGTTAAGTTGTTTCGATCTTACTGGTAGAGCTAATAACATGATCGTTACATAACACCTATCGAAATAAAAATAAATCTCCAAAAAATGAGCCTATTACCTTAGAAATAATTGTTTTGAAAGAATAGAAGAGCATACTGTGTGTATAGCGAAGAGAGTCTATCTCCGGTTGTTTCGAGTGTGCGGGTTGTCGGGCATTGGTAGTTAAAGTAGAAGTGGGGATGTAGTCAAAAGAAAAGGAAGGGTAAGTGCCGCATGGCGACGCCACCGTCGGCCGGTGGCGACAGGTGTCTGGCGCGACGTCTCAGTGTCGCGGCGGCTGTTCGTGAGGTGAGTCACGTTATTCTTCTCCTTTGTCGTCGTTTAACGGCAAGATCTGTGCGCGCGCGCACTCTCATTGTTTCCCTATCATTAAAACATCGAGGAAGATTGTGTTTTGCACGTTCATTTTTAGTGTGAGCAATATTTTAATATCGGTGATGTAATCTCCTAATCGAATAAATCATTCGAAGAAAAAGAAAGAGTGCGAGAGAGGTGGGGAGAGAGAGGTGGAGAGAGAATTAAAAGAGGAAAATATACCGAACGGAAGGAAAGTTTTGTGTGCGCGGCAAGCACGCGTGTTGTTGCGCGTGCTTCGTCTCTCTCTCTCCCTCCCACCCTCCCTCTCCTATCGTTCTTTCTCTTTCTCTGTTTCTCGTCTACATACTCGGTATTTACTTGGAAGGTATATGTGTGTAGGTATGTGAGCCTTGTCGCGCAGACTCCGAACGTGCACGGTCAAAGGTGTCCATGAGATTCAACGTCCGGTCTCTTCCTTTTCCTTCCTTTCCTTTCCTTTCCTTTCCAACATAAATAAAGATGCATTGTGTTCAAAGAAAGAAGAGATCTTTAGGGAAAAATCACAGATGGCTGTTAAAATTGGTGAGAGAGGGAGAGAAAGAGACAGACTTGGTCGAATAGTCTCTCTCTCGATAATTTCCTGGAATGTCGAACGCCACGACTGGTTTTGCCGGCCTTCCTCCTCCTCTTTCTCCTTTTTTTCTCCTTTTTTTCTCCTTTTTTTCTCCTTTTTTTTCTCCTTATCCTCCTTCTTTCTACTCTTGCAAAGTCGGGAGTCTTATGTTCTCAACGCGGATTCAATTTTTGGAGGAGAGAAATTGCTTAAAGTTGCTTAACTTTTGAATGAAGGACTAGGTTAGGTTCCGTTCGATTCGATCGAGTTTGGAAATTGTTGTTTTCTTTCTCTCTGATTCGCCAATCGCATCTTGATCGTGAATCTCTTTCGTCGACCACAGGCACGATTACGTTCGTGGTATGGCGCAGACTCGTTTATTCTCTCTCCCTTCTCTCTCTCCCCCTCCCCCTCCCATCACCCCTCTCGCCCCCTTTACTCTCCCTCCGTCTATCCCAATCTCTAGCACGCCACGTCCCTTCTTCGAGCCGGTTCGAAGGAGGATAGCCCGAGTAAGAACAATGCGAATAGGATGAAATGAGACAAGACTAATCTTGTCTAAACGCGTCTAGGCCATATACTTTCCACTCAAAAAATACACATGTTTTTTTTTTTATTCCTATATAATATTAAGTATAAAGGGAGAACAAATGAACGAACAATGTCTAACGATCCTCCAAGTAAATAATACTTTGCCAATTATTCGATCACAAGATTTTTCCTAGAGGAAGAGAGACGGAGAAAGAGGGAGAGAGAGAGAATAATATATGTATACATAGGAGGTTTCTTTGTTTCGCTGTAGCCAGCTTCTCGAATGAACGCAAATCGGCGATACTGCGAACCGGTTCGTACGTTCGCGTAAAGCGGTCGTGCGGTCCGGTGCGGTCCGGTGCGGTCCGGTGCGGTGAGAGGGAGTCGCGAGGGTTAGCGCAAAGAAGGGCGTTACCTTTTTCGGAGACACGAGTAAGTAGTGGAGTCAAGAAGTAAAAGAAGAAGAGGAAGAAAGGACGAAAGGAAGGAAGAAGAGGAAGAAAGAACGGACGGACGGACGGAAGGAAGGAAGAAGGTAAGAAGAAAAGAGACAGATTAGGAGGATGTCTCTGACGTGTCGAGTACAGTACTTGAACGACGTCGATCCGTTCGCTTACGCGAGCTCCTATCCGGAGCCACCGAGACCTCCCGTGCACACCTTCAGCGTGACCTTGCCGTTGATCAACCAGCTTGCCGCCGTTCATCGACTTCTTCGAGCACCTCACAGGGTGAGTCTCTCTCTCTTCTGCAATACGCCGAGGATTTTTCGATCATTCCACGAAAGGATCGATCTATCCTTTTCCCTTCTTATATTCTTCCAACGATCAATATGGAAAGAGATTTATTTAGTCTAATTAATAATTATATTATTAAATACATATGGAAAGGCTTAGGAGATTTATAGTTCCTTTCTAAAATATCTTAAGAAATGTTTTGTACATATCGGTAAAGAGTTAGTGTAATTAAACGAATGTATTACTTGCACACATTGGATTTTCCAATAGTATTATAGTTTTGTCATGTTGGCCGGGCGTGCATGATCGAGCGTATCTCTCTCTCTCTTTCTCTCTCTCTCTCTCTTGGAGTCGCTCGTCGGTGTTCTCTTTGGTCCTTTCTTCGGCAGTTGGCCGATGTAACGGTACCTCAGAGCGTTACACTCTCCTCCGCGAGGGAACAGTAAAAAGTACGTTTATGGCCTCGACATTTTATACCTATAGGGTATCGTGCCGATGTACCGGTTATCTTAAAAACACTACTAAGTTTCTGCCTCGTGTGTCATTTTTTACCGCTTCTTTTTCACGAATTACAAGTATCGTAGCATCGTTCTTTTCGAATTTGTACCTTCTCCAATCTCTTTTCTATCGAGATTATTATTGCCATGAAAGGGCAAGTCATAGAGATAGGCGGACGGATATCGCAAACTATATATTTCACAATTCGGACACTTTGTCTAGTGTCCTTAATATTTTTCAACAGTTTCGTTCATAAAGGTTCTTAACCACGTGCAATATTTCTTTCTCTTTCTTTCTCTATTTCTTGTTCTTTTCGTTGTGTCAAGACAGCAGTTCCGAATTTACGAGCACCGTATATACAACGCGCTTCAAATTTATAGCATGCATTCCGACGACGACTGTATTCGTTGGAAAATGTAACGGCCCTTGCCTTGCCGTTTAGATTTACCTACATCCATTGCCATCCTTCTCGATGATCTCGAGAAACTCGACCGTTGCTCGTAAGATTTCCTTATGTAATATCACGTTTATATACATACTCTTACTCAAGTTTTAAGTGATATAGTCGTTAAAACGTGCTATGGACTTTGTATTCTTTAGATCATAATCGTCAACTCGGACGTTAACCGATTACGTAAAACAAGATACCTACGTCAAATATTTTGTATCTGTACGTGTTACTCTTGCGGGATAACGTTGTTGAGATTGAATTAAAATATGTATAACAGAACGAGTCTTTAATCATATTCAGATTTCATTTGTCATAGAAATTATACAACGAAGAAACTAATAAAAGCTATTTAATGTTCCCATAGATTTCGCGTCTCGTTGCGCTCCTATTTGTACAACGGCATAAAGTTGGAAAAGACGGAGCATTATTCCGACTTTTTTTTTGAACATTCCTACGGAGCGCTAATGGAGAGTTACGTTTGAGATTTATGGTCGGCGTTACAGTTGGACAGAGGCTGGGAAAGTTGGATTTTACGAGCGAACGGGCTTATCGCTTGCGCCTGGGGTTTCACTGGGGTTGAATCGGAGTGGAATCGGAGTGGAATCGGGGTTGAATCGGCAAACGCATCGAAGCCATTGCATAACGAACGCGAGAAAGAGACGTAAATCAGTAGTAGGCCACTGGGACAGTGCTATCTCGCGAGGGTGCTTCTATCCAACGACATACGTTTCTTTATATCATAGATCTTTCTTTCATAAACATTTCTTTTAACTAATGTCGAAAATAATTCTCCTTTATACACTATACTTTACCGTGTCTCTAACGTCTTTTTAAACTGACAAAAAAGAAAAAAATGCATAATATTGCAACTTTAGTAATGAAGTTACGTGCAATTAAATCGTTTCCCCTTTTAGATTTTTCTCTACTAACAACATTCTCTCTACAAGAACAAGAACGATGCACCGAGTGAGTAGAGATTGTATAGTGGGAAGGAATACAGAAAGGTAGACAGAAAAAGAGGGAGAGGAGGTTGTGTGCATGCGACAAAAAGATGATACATCCGCTTTAAGGTGTCTACACAAGAGAATGATCGACTATGTAGAAGTAGGAATGCATGAATCGGCAAACTTAGCAAATCAAAGCGAGAATATCTGTATGCGCGTCTCTCTCTCTCTCTCTCTCTCTCTCTCTCTCTGTTTTTCCTATCTTTTCTCTCGATTCATCTTTTATACATTTTTTTTTCTATTTTTATACTTTCTTTCTTACTTTGCCTCAAAGTTTCGACGGATCTATGAAGGTAAATGAATAAATTGAATAATGCAATTGTCTCGTGTTTTTCAACGAATTCAATTATTCTATTAGTACAAAATTCTATTATTCTAGTAATAATAAAAAAGAAAGAGAATCCTTTTGAAAATGTAATTAGTGAAAATTCATTGAAAAATTTTTTTTCTCGAGATTGTCGACATTTCTGTTTTATGTATTCTTTCGATCGTTGTGAAAAGACTGAAATATTATATATAAGGATGAAAGTTAGCTTAGGTATATTCCATGCATGTGAATGCATACACACTATACAATTTACAATCTTCTACTTTCATGCACGTAGAGTTGAGTACGCGCGTAGGTTGGTGTAAAAGTTGCAGAGGTTTGGGAAGTCACCTGATAGACGGTCTCCGCCTACTAACTTGTCTGCCTACCTAACCACCTACCTACGTTTCTACCTAACCAACCATCTCTCTCGCTCTCTCTCTCTCTCTCTCTCTCTCTTACATATTTTTGCTCGCTCACACGAGTTCTCATCCAAGCTCTTTCTTGCATACCGTTTGGAACGTTGGTGTCCAGACGCGATCGTTTAACACCACCGTTCGTTCGTTCGTTCATTTTCGTTGCAACAACGCGAAACATACACACACCATCTTAAGGACTCGAATTTGAAGTCATTCATTCTTAATGAGACTCTCAAAAGTCTTTGCAGTTTTTCTTTTTTGTCTCTCTTTCTTATCTCTCCTTGTCTTTTATTACCCCGGGGAATCCGTGAAATTCAATAATACATTTTTAAAAGCAAATAACGGAGCTCACGGAAAAAAAAGATGTAGAATATCTTTAAAAAGAATTTTTCGAGAGAACGTGCCTTTAAAACATAGACGGAATAATCTTAATAAATATTAATAAATACAATTCGGTTGACAAAGAAAGATTCTCTCGAGCGGAAGATTTTGTATTCCTTCGTGAATTTTAAAGGGACGTACGAAAAGAAGATGGTTACTATTAAAAACAAATGAATTAAAAAACTAAAGAATTCAATAATTTGTATTTTAAACTCTATTTTAAACAATATCAACACTAACGTCCTTCGATTTGATACGGTTTCTGCCGTATAAAAGAATAGAAGAATAAATGTAACTTTACTAAAGAATCTTCCGTTAGTGTAAATAATGCAAGGAAAAATATTCGATGGCAAGTCCTCCCTAGAAGGATTCCATCCTCTTCGCTTTTCAATGCTCCATCTTATTCCCTGCTGATTTACGGGTACGAAAAGGTTGATACTTAATCTTACGAGTTCCTGCCGGAGCTGGTCACGAAACGGCATTGCTGCGCACATTCGAATTTCAAGAAGGAAGGATAATACGCTTTGCCTGTACAACTTTTTTTTTTACGGAAATAAGCCATAAAACCATCGCAACGGRTRTSMTTTTTTKTYTWTTYKWYTTKTTTTTTTTTCAATGGTTTGTCATAGAGATAAATTTGACTTATTCTTAACATAATGCTTATAAATATTAAATGTACATCATATAACGTGTATGAAACTTAAGTAGACATTGTAGAGTTAAGGACTATAGAGAGGAGGGTTCTGAGGGTAACGATGGAGTTCGCTGAAATGTGCCAGTACCAAATGTCACAGGAAGTTGCTCCTTAATCTACGCCTCCGATCTCATTTCTACTAATTGGCTGATAGGGGCATCTGATACGGGTCACCGATACGTAGCTACGACGATACGCTCGATATAGCCAAGGATACCTTCCTTGCTTTCTAATTTGAAGTATTATTTCGAAAAAATACTAAATAAAAGCTCAATCATTTCATTCGAATTTCTATTCTTCGATTGGAAGTATAAAAAGCATTTAATCAATATTCTATTTCGTAAATCATTTATTTTTTCCTATTTTAAGAGAGTACTTAAAATAGTCTTGAATATTTTTCAAACGAGAGATCGATAGTTCATTTGGAATCGTAGACACTCTTTTCTTCTTTTTATACAAGACTTAGAAAAGTTTAATCGCGCTCGTCTCGCTATACTCTCTCGCTATACTCTCTCGCTATACTATCTCGCTATAACTCTTAATAACAGCGCGACCAATCGACGTACAAGGATGACTGCGACAATGAGCATCGCATACATCGCTCGATGGAACAGCAAAAATAAGAGGTAAAAGAAGGTAAAGAAGAAGAAGAAGAAGAAGAAGAAGAAGAAGGTAAAGAAGAAGAAGAAGAAGAAGAAGAAGAAGAAGAAGAAGAAGAGGTTGCTTCGCGATTTGTTTCGCCGTTTTACGCCGGCTTCGAATTCACGATTCTTTCACGTTCATCGTGACCACGACACGACGGCTTCGTTCGCGGTCTTTATTCACGCCTTTCCTGTCAATCAACTCGCCTTTGCTTCAACCATTTTATTTTCTTCTTCTCTTTATCGTCAGTTTATTATTATTTGCCTTATTCCAGTCATTTCCATCGTATCATTTACGAGTTTAATAACAATTGATATCACATAGAATATTTTCTCTCTTTTTAAAGAAATCTTCCATTTTGTTGTTCTATTTTTTGTGCGTTTTATTTGTTCCATTATATTTTGGAAAGTTTACAAGTTGAAGTACCGATGTTCCACAGAAGGGACATAAAATCAGCAGGACGGGATTGATCTGCTTGGAAAAGTATGAAACGACCGCGGCGCACAGTTCCTAACAAAGGGACTCGAACTCGTTCTTCTTTAGAAAGCCGCGTTCCTTTACCATCGGAAAGATCAAAGAGAAGCTTGACATTACGCGA